CGGCAATCTGACTTTTGGACAATGATTGGTAAATCAGAAAAACGAATTATTGACTTTGTATTCCATTGGCAGTCACAAAACTCTTCGGAACGACATCTTAGATAAATAACAGGTTAACTATTAACTTTTATTTAATGCAGGTTTTGAACCGTATTCTTTGAAGGAGACGATTATATTCAAATCAATCTGTATTGACATATCAATAAGATTTTTTTGTCCAAATGCACAGATTGCCACCTTTGATAATAGACGACTCATTTAGAATACAAATATCAATCTTACCAAAGTGTTATTCACTAGTGCAGCATTTATGATATTGAACTGATAATCTCTGACTGGATAGTTTGTTGGGTAAATCCATGTTTGTCCTAATAGTTTGTCATAGCCATTTAACTCTTCATCACAACATAATGCACTATGAAAAAAAAATTGTAACTTGTATTAATAAAATATCCGAGTCTGGCTAGTATGTTAGGTCACTATTAGGTTTATTTTTGCATCACCTTTCAAACTTGATAATTGCTTTTTTAAGACATTAAGCTATTTCTATGAAGCTGGTGTAGACATTTTTTTATAATACACTGGATTGTGATTCCCATCAAACAAACTGTCGTTTTCAAGTCAATGGAACGTACCACCAATAAAATATTCATATGGATTTTTGTTTAATAGATTTAATTTTCGAATCTAAGATCTATTCGAATAATTTAAATATAAACAAAAAAGCTGATCAAAAACACTTTTAAGTAATGAATTCACATACCTTACATTCAAATCATTTTTATTTAATGATCCATTTGAGGTTTTTACGTGAAACTTAGATTTATCGAAGGAAGTGTTTGCAAAATTCGCCAAAAATGTAGAATCATCAAATACTTCATCATCTTCGTATTCATCAATAACTTTTTCGTCCCTACAATTTCTTGAATTATTCATAGCTATTCATGATAATCAATAATATAGATTATTTATTAATTTAGAATATTTAGATCTTAATAAAGGTTATTTGAAGAAAAATCCGCGAATTAAAAGTTGAAAACAAATGACAATGACATGAGACCACAGAACACTATAGTCGGATTTTTTATTAGACGAAGTCAACTGACGTTTACTGTGTTGTCAGTTTTTGGTGAAATAAAAATAGTGTTGTGACAAAGTGAACGATTGAAAAAACTCCTGAATTAATGAAATTGCCTCGATTGTCTAGTGAACAGTTGGTGTGCCGAATTGCCGATATCGGGTACGGGGTTCGAATTTTAGGCGTGCTTTGTACATACCAACGAGTTTTCGACGAAATATTATGTTCCTATAGTATCTACCTGTACTGAATACCGAGTGTTTTAAACATTAAGAAAAACATTGCGAGGAAGCTTGTAAGACTGTCCTATTTCCAATACATCATATAGTTGAAATTATAGATGTATAAAATATAACAATTATAGGTAGGTAATGAAAATAAAAAAACTGATACTACTAGTAACATATATTGGAGCACTTTAATACAATTTTATTGTAAAATATAAATAATACTCTTTTATAGTTTGAAATTAATGATTAACTCTTCACACTCATTGTTCATTTGTGATTGAACGAGAACTGAACGCATCACTATTACTTTAAATATAGCAACATTATTTCACAAAGTGACATTAGCTACTGTCAGCTAGCTTCGTTTAATTAAAAATCCGACTATAATACTTCTAGCGAAAAATGAAAATGGTAGTTTTCCAATTACAGCACAAGAGCGCATTAGACGGCACAATGCTCAACTAAGGTTCAGCATAATTCGGCATTGTGCGTCACTGAGTCGCATTATGCTCTGTAATTGGAAAACGAATTGTCGCATTATGCTCTGTAATTGGAAAACTAATACCATTAGTTGGAAAACTACCATGATTTATTTTTATTTGTGTATATTTCTTTTTTTAAGGGATTTTATGACCCGGTAACTAAGACTTTTAGGTCAAGTCTTATTTTTTAATTTATATTCTTATTTTTATGAAAAATTATAATATGGAGTGAAATTAAATGAAACGAAGATGATTAATTTGAGACAATATTCAACTGGGATGAAATTAAATGAAATGAGATGAGATGATATGCGATGAAATATGATTTCAGTAAAATGGTGGTCATTTACTGAGATTTTTTCAGAGGACTTTTTGGAGGATCCCGAGAAGCTACGTCTAGCGGCTTTGTTTTATTTTCCCACATTTGTACACTTTCACAAATATTAAACAGTTAATAAACCACCGTTATGTTATTACACATTTAAACCCGAAAGAAACACTGAATAGACAAAATAAAACAAATCACACAACTTCACGCCTCGCGTCGACTGTCGAAGTACATATACATGTAGTGAGAAATTATTTTTCTTCGTGAAAACTCTAATCTTTATCGGAATACGATGATACCCCAACTGTCAATGAGTGATCGTATTAAATGAGTGTCATTTTCATATCCATTAATATGGAATTTTAATGTTTAGTGTCCAATGTCAATATGTAATCATCAAAATGTAATACATATATGTACATCAAGTATAATGAATAGGACTTTTTGGCGGGATAAATTAAAATAAAATATAACCTAAAGGTTTTAGTTACCAGGTCATAAAATCCCTTTTTAGTACCGGTAAAATGGGGCGATTAGGGATTGAGAGGCGAATCGGGAAAAAACCGGGAAAATTTTTCGACGCTCAATATAAGTTTTATATTCGTTGCAAAATCTTCCGTTTTTTGTAGTTTAATAGTAGAATGTTGAAAGTTCACAAAACAAATCTGAATATGCATGATAATAGCTGCTAACTTATAAAAAATCGCGTTTCAAATTAACTTCCTGTGGTGGTAATTATTTTAGTGCTAGAAACTTTGCTCTCTTTTATTTATTTGATAATAATAGAAGACGACTATGATTTATAAACGTTATTTAGTGTTTGAACCAGCATATATATTAAAGGTAAGTCTCAGTTGTTATTGGTTTTAATGTATTTGATTAAATAAAAATACATGTAAAAATCTGTTGTTTTTGGGGATATTGGGGACGTCTTAGGTACAAATAACAACGAAAAAGGGGTCAATTGGGATGAGAATACGTGAAATGGAAACGACCTAAGTATAAATAGGTACAGGTTTGTAGGGTTGTCTATGTAGTTATAACAATATTTTTTAAATTTGTTGGTAAAAATCTGGTTTATTCGAAGCGAAATTGGGAATAAGTCTTTAGTTGAAATAGATAAGCAATTTAATATAAGTAAGTCGATTTTGCAGAGACATGTAACAAGATCAATGAAATCTCAAGGTGGACCAAAATGTCTAAGTAATACATAATAAAATATTTAATATTTGTTCAGAGTGGGAGTATTCATCTGATTAATCCATGGAATAACCGACACACCTAATCTCTGAACCCAGATAGAAATATCAGCCCCTAAGTACTTACCAAGAACGGAGAAATATAAACCGTTTCTAAGAAAGCCCACTATATATGTATAAATAAATATATATGTGTCGGCACACGTCAGGGATGGCTAAGCGGTAGTTTCGTCAACACTCGTATTCGATTGAACTCAGTTTAGTTAATAAAACTTTTCAATAATAATTATTGAAACTCAACACACACAACTTTCACAATGACAGGATAAACCGACAGTTTCGTTGCACATACCGACAGACCGACTGACTGAGACGGACGGAATGACTGTCTGACACGGAATACCACGACTCTGTCCACGTACCGCCATTTTATACTGTGGCGTTACGTAGTCTACCCCTCATTTTGTGATATTTATCAAAACAACATCTCATCATTTAAAATAATAATCAAAACCACCGTCTTTTACTAAAAGTCGTTATCCACGACAACTAAAAGTCGTTATCCACGACATATGTATATATATATATTTTTGTTGTTGTTAATGCACTGTCGATTGCACCTATAATTGAGGTGATGTCTGCCATGTACTTTTGTCAGTTTTCAATTTTTTTTATTGATGATCACTTTGTTGGTGCAACTAAATAAATAAATAAATTAAAACTATATATAAAAATAAAAGTAGTGCCAACCCTAGCAAATTTCTCATTTCGTCCCAATTAACCGCAATTTTCGGGTAAATAGAGATTACACCTATTTTTGCATTTTTTGCTTAAACTGGAATGCTAGTTGCTTAATTTTAAACTAGACAACAAAGATGCCCCCAAGACTCAACCATTTTGATCCTGATATAGCATTATATACATCAACAACTACCTTAAAATTGCTCATAAAGTTGGAATTTGTCCCTAATCGCCCCATTTTACGGTATTTCTCTTTAGAATTTTTACTCTTTTCTAACCGATTCACAGAAACTGCGATTAGTGCTGATTATTACAATAAAATGAAAATGGAAATAGAGGATGGTTTTGATGAATTGTTGGCTGAAATTAGTGAACCATCATCATCAAAGAAAATTAAAGTAGATGAAATTTCTGCTCAAGCAGGTTGGCACCTACGGGTCTATTTTCTTATTTATATTATGCAAAAATTCATTAAGCAAGTAGGTAAACAAAACATCATCTCAGTCTTAATTGAATTCCAGGAACATCTGACGAAGCTACCATAAAACCAAGATCATCAAAGACACACTGTGCTCTAGTAAATAAAAACCAGGTAAATTATGTCTAAGATGATCTCGAATCTTTGAATAGTACATGAGAGTATATAGTTTTTAAGCGATTATTTATTTTTATTTAATTAATCTAATCGAGTGTTTTTGTCACAGTATGTTTAGAATTTCTTGTAAAACGACTAGTTTGTCTAATAAAAAAAAAATATTATGTGCTTTAACAGTATGCACTACAGCTGAAGACTGATTACACTGGTCAACAAAATTTCGTAACAAAAAAGGTGCTTACGAATTTTGAATCACGTACCTAACATCATTTTAGCGTCATATTTATTTTGGTCTTCAGTTTTTCTGTTATAGGCACTACTAAATTACTAAATATAAGTTTCATTTTCATAATCCGAGAGTTTATTATTTGAAGAATACTGTGTACAGTTGTGTACAAAGGCAATATGAATAGTGTGCGCAAATAATTTCAGAGAGGCAATCCTCTTCTCAAACACATAACCAGCGTGCCTTGGGAATATGATGATATAGTGCCTGATTATGAGGTTGGAAAAACAATATGCTTACTATTCCTCTCATTAAGATATCACAACTTGAATCCAGATTACATACACAACAGATTGAAGGAGCTAGGCAAGAAGTATGATTTGAGAGTTTTGCTAGTACAGGTATTTTTTATATTTAAATATTAGATCATTGTTGTGATAATTAAGCAAAATATCAGCATACCATAATGTATTAAGTTGTTGCCAGAATTTGAGATACAAGTGATATTATCAATAACCATATCAGTAAATAATATTAAACTTTGAATTTGATTAGAAATAAAGAAATTAACAACAAAAAAACCTCAATATTTTATTCATTGTATTTTAATTTGGATGGATTTTATTATTTATTTAAAAAAATAGCTATAATCTCAAAATATAGAATGTAAATCAGAAATTTAATAAACCAAATTTTTAATATGAGTATTTCAGGTTGATTTGAAAGATCCACATGCATCTTTAAAAAATTTAACACGAATATGCCTGCTGACTGATATAACTTTAATGTTAGCTTGGAACCCAGAGGAAGCAGCTAAAGTTGTTGAAAACTATAAAATTTACGAAAACAAACCGCCAGACAGAATTATGGAAAAAATTGAGAATGATCCTCATCAGAAGGTATTTATTAATTTTTTAAAGAAATTATGCTACCCAAAATATAAAACAGCAAATCACAAATACATTGAAAAGTTAGGTACTTTGAAATGTGATGTTTGAAGAGTGTATAGGGCTGTTTTGAAGTAAAAAAAAAGGTATTAAATTCATTCATAAAAGTTTTTTGTTTGTTTGTTTTGCTTAGAGAGTTTGCATGAACAAGCACTTGTTAAGTGGATACTAGAGCCCATAGATAACGAACGCTAAATACCATCACTCACTTGTCCGGAAAATTTTGCATCATACCTCACATATTTTTCCACAAGAAATTTATTATGCTTTTTTCGTACAATACTGAGGTACCTGCCTACAGCATTTAGTCACCAGACTGCACCCATTGCTCGATATGAAAACATTGTGCGTCTTAAACTTTGGGCCATACTATAATTAACTAAACATACAATACATACTTGTTAAGTAATTCAATAGAGCCCCCAAAGTAATAAAATCAGTTGGATAATTCAACTCACATTCCCCCTTGACCACTAAAAATCATTTGTTTTTTGACTGTGTTATATAGCATGAAATGGAAAACGCTTTAAATATAACTGAAAGTGATTTTTTTGAGAATAACTGGCACCACAGCTTATGTTTAAAAATAAGATTGTACTTGGCGAATAGTACTGTTTTTTTTATTTCTTTGTCAAGTCTGAGAGGCTGTGGGTATTAAGTATATATTAAAGGCCCATGTTAATTTACAACTACAATAAAAACAATTTCAAATTTCAGATTATCAATGCATTGTCGTCAATCAAACCTGTCAACAAAACTGATGCCATGACACTAATCAAAACATTTGGCACCCTAGAGAATATTATTAAAGTTTCAGAGTCTAGATTAGCAGAATGCCCTGGGTTTGGTATAACAAAAGCAAAAAAACTTTACAAGGCATTGCATGAACCATTTTTAAAGAAGGGTCAAACAAAAGATAAAAAAGATGAATTTCCTGATGAAGATTTGACACTTGAAGAATTAGAGAAAATTGTAAATGAAAACCAAGATATATCCTGAGATACTATGAATAATACTGAAGAACTAAGGGCAAAAGATAAACATGCCACTGAAGTCCATACAAATACAGTGTACATAATTAAACCAGGTGTAAACATGATGCTTGCAAGCAATAATAAACTAATTCTACAGTGAAGTATTACTGTGAAAAATTGAAACTTAACTGTCCATAGTACTAATAGTTGTTGCTAATAGCTGGTCCTGCAAGTTACATTGTTACGTCTTTATTAATATTAGAGTGAAAAAGTTTTAATATGAGTCCCAATCTCTAGACCAGGGTTGTCCAAACTACACAGGTACCTTTGCGGGATCATTAAATTGACTGCAAAGGCTGGATGGCCGCAGAAAAAAGAAAATGATGTCATGGGAATGAAATGTTACAAGAGTAAAAGATAAATTATATCAAATATTGATTATATGTTTTGACAAAGAATTCTTTTATCCAAACTATTTATATCCAAACTATTTTTTGATTGAAACATGCGTCGCCGTTCTCTGAGCAGCTCTGCTCTAGACTATAAGTAATTCCAGAATTGAATGCTTAAAGAAAATTGTTCTGTATCAAGCCTTGGTGAAATTAATAATAATGAGTTTATTACTTTGTTTTATTTAACAAATTTGGCTGATTGAATTCAAAGATACATTTAGATTTTAGAGCCAATACTTTCATTTAGCAAAAATGGATAAATGTTTTAAAAGCAATGTTGGTTGGTGGCTGTGATCGCAAGCTATTTGTATAGTGATGTATACAAATTGACGTAAAATGATTTATACGAACTCATATATACCAGTATTAAAAAGGGGAAAGATTTGATTGTTTGTTTGTTTGCATTGAATAGGCTCCGAAAGTACTGAACAGATTTAAAAAAATCTTTCACCGTTTGAAATACGCTATCTCCGATGTGAGTCGGCGATAGTGTAGCTGTTAAACTTTTACGCTATCGAGAACGTTAAAAAACTCTCACTAAGGACACAGGAATAATTGTCGTATAGTCTGCTTAGTGCGAGTTTCGTAACGTTCTCGATACCTTAAAAGTTAAGGCAATTTTGTATGCAGTTCGAACAGCGCCCCTAGCGGCAAATATACGCAAACGATCCCATTCCATACAAATTTGAGCTAACTTTTACGCTATCGAGAACGTTAAAAAACTCGCACTAAGCATACGGATTACGAGAAGTAACGGCCTGACTGTGTAACTTTGCTGCTGCCATATGCGGCGGTTTACGGATTACCAACATGGGCTGACCGCTCAACTGTTTTTGGCTGTCGTGGACAGTAGAGCTGTAGTATTATTAAATATACCACTGGAACTTTAATTTTTCAATTATAATGCATTATGCCTGTTCTAACCTTCAAACAGGAACGCATCACTTTTGTGACAGAAATGACCCCAGATTGGACAATGAATTGTGGTCCCTACCCGTACGTGCATATTATATTACTCCAAGTAGTCAAGTGCAACTTTTCTTGCTGATACTTTTCAGTGTTGAAACTATATTCTGAATCGATGGTAAAGTTATATAATTAATAAGCGGTTGTAAAGCCTGCTTCAATATAAAAAAAAGATTTTTATTTGCGCTTTTTTTTCCCGTACTTATGTTGATAACCTTGAGAGGCTATTTCAGCTTCTCCTTGACGTGTAGGTGAGCTCACGGGGCTCTAACCGGGAGTGTTGCTAATACTGGCCGTAGCAAAAGCAGTGCTTCGCAGAATCTACCACCGGATCTGAAACACGACCCACTGAGAAGATCGGGCGAGACACTGGGCTGTGTCTATGGGTTAATTCACTCGTCAAACATTTCGTCGCAAGCGACGGGCTCGACGAGGACGGTGGCCGGCGCTTGTGGTACCTAAAAGCACCGTTAATGGATCGGGAGAATCTGTAATGACGTGTTTAGGGCGACGTCGACTGTTTGCCATTCGGTCCACAGGATCGGGCATGTAATTTCCGGCGTCCACGACCAGAGGGTTTTCATGTCGTGCCGCCTTCTCGAAGTGGCGCAATGATGACGACTGTAGATGCTTAATGACAGAGTCAAGCTCCAGGTCATCATGGAGATCTACATTCCTTAGGAACCATGGTGCTCTGACGGCTATCCTGCAAAAAACGGGATTGAATAACTTGTAGGGGTTTCAAATTGGAGCGGGCCGCGTGAGTCAACACTACGCTTGCATAGGTCATGACGGGGCGTATGCAAGTTTTGTAGAGTGTCACCTTATTTCGAAGCGATAATTTACTTCGCTTACAAATCATGGGACAGAGACGTCCTAATATAAAGGCGGCACGGTCGCGTATTGTTCTGATGTGGGTTATTTGCGCGTTTTTAGAGCCTTAAGAGAACTTTCAAATTATTTATTTCTCTCTGTTAGATCCGCTAGAAATTCAACGCCAAGCACTAATACCATGAGTACGTTTGAGTAAAAAAGCAAAAAGGAAAAAGACGAGTTTTTCCATGGACATCGGCAACACCACGTTTAGGTACCTCTATCTCGCTACTTTGAGACTACAAAGCACTTCCAACTAGTTTAAGAAAGACAAATACGAATGTGATATTACTAATCTACAACTATTGAAACTACGTACTGCCTAACCGAAAATAAAGATGCATAAAACCAGACAGGAAGCATAGGAGATTTTAAAAGAGCCTTTGTGGTTAGTTCGTTAATGTTCGCTTCAGCACAGCGCAGCGATGTTGTTGGCCGCGTCGAGTTCAAAATAAAACAAACGTCTGGTCAGCGCGTAACCGGCTCCGTCGGTGGATAGACGTCTGTACGCTGCATACGTTTCACCTACAACTAGCGAGTAGTTTATGATGGCGATTATCAGTTTGGCGCGAAAATTTTGTGAATTAAATTGTGCAGTCTAAGTGCGTGTTTTTTGGATTACTTTTGCGTTTCGAATGTAATTAAGTGATTTGAGAACTTTTGTTATATACGTGACTATATCTAAACGAATTCTTGACGATAAGGCGAGAAAGACGTATTGTGTAAACTGTGCGAGAGTTAAAAGATATTTTGTTTTACCTTTAACTCTAAGGTAAGTTTGTGTTTAATAATTTATTTTATATTTAAAAGAACAATTAAAACTTTAACTAAATTTTTAAACCAATATAAATTGAAATACATACCGAAACCTTTTTTTTATTTTGTGTTTTCAAGTTGTATATTTTATGTTATATACCTAATCGCGAAATTTAAAAAAATCGTTAAAAATTAAAATATATACTCGTATAATTTTCAGACATTCAATGAGCCGTTTGGTCGAGCATTTTAGCTATGTCCCGATCATTGCTAACGTCGATAAGGGACGATAACCACTCACAGTCGAGCGGGCCGTATACTCGTCTAGCTTCAAAAGTATTACAAAAACAAAAAAGCTCAAATGATTGATGCATAAGTTTTGCCATCCCGCAATTATATCATTAAATATGTAGAATATATAAGAAATATTTAGGAATCTAGATAATCATATAACATTTTGATACTTTTCGTCAAACAGTTGTTCTTAAATAGAAACTACCTTTCTTTGAAGGTTCATCAATTCTGTGCCGATATTCGAGTACTACTTTAATCCGGTGATTTACACAATATGTATTTATTTCATGCATGCATGTGACTAGGAGATGTATGGAAATGATAGTGCAGGGGAAGAGGGGGAAGAGGTTGACCGAAGAAGACATGGATGGAGTGTGTGAATGACAATATGAGAGAGAGAGAGAAGTGAGTGTTGAGATGACGGCTGATAGAAGAGAATGGAAGAGAAAAATTAGCTGTGTCGACCTTACCTAGTGGGATAAGATGGAGAAAAAGAAGAAGAAGTACTTATTTCATGATTTAATTTTTTTATTAAACAGCTACTTAAATTCTAAGGAAATATTGGAAGATACCAAATAAACTTTCGTTTTACCAAAGCTCCAAAACGTGAAACGCCTCAAATTAAGCACGTTACTTTTTCGGTTAATTAAAAACAAGGAACATAGACTTTAAGATGTTGCTAACAAATTGCGTCTTACATGATTCCTTAACTAACTGTTGAAAAAATAATGGTACCGTGTGCTACGTGGTTTTGTGTTTAAACGGGCAACAGGGCCAACAGGTGAAGACGGCACGAGTCGGCCAGGTGCCAGTACATGCCGCGTTTGTTATCCTTTCAATTGAACTATGCCCATATTAGATGATTATTTGTATAATTCAACCGTACAACCATGTTGGGCGGGAGCATGCTTAAAATAAATGCGTACCTATTAACATAAACAGATGCTCTCAGAAAACGAATAAGGCGCTGAAACAGTCGTCGAAACATTTACATATTATGTTGTTGATTTTATTTATCGTATTTTTTTTTAAACAAAAAGTATTATTACTGTTTGCAATAATTTGGATCTAACTACTTTAATATGCGACTATCAAGCCGGGAAACAGTTATAGCGTGAAATTAAGCGCCACACCTCTGCCTTGAATTTATTTATTATCGCTGTTTTGCTAAGATTAGAGGTTTGCTCAATATAAGTTTGGTTTTTTGTACCATCAGCCTTTCTAAAGAACAAGGAGCACTGTATATGCGTACACAATACAAATTACCTTGAAGGCAGACGAGCATACGGCCCACCCGATGGTGAGGGGGTTAGCGTCGCTAAAAACTAAACTATAGTTTTGTTGTTAATTTTAAATGATAAATACCTGTTACTGTAACAAAATATTATAATGATCTCAGCTAATCCACAATTACTAGCGAACACTCTGAACGAAAGTAGGTTTTTTAACAGATTTTCATTTCATGAACATTTTTATTTATTTATTATTTAAATCGACCCAGCCCTGTTGCTGTGGTAGATCTAGTCATATAACGCCAGACGCACCGTTATCTTGACTAATTGACGAATACACGCATCAGTATCTAATGGTGCCATTGCGACGATCCTACAATTTATTGACAGTTATGCTCGTTTTATACAGTTCGTTAATATGATAGATAAAATCAGACACGTGTAATGAGGTGTTTTTGCATCGCTGATTTTAACGTAGTTCCATAAATGAAATGTGTTTATTAATACGCTTTTATTAGCTTCAGACGTATGTATGTTTGTAATGGAATTTTCGAACATGATTTTGACCCCCTTCAAAACGTCGGATTAACTCGAAATTTGGTATACTTATTAAGAACCGGTGACAATTTAATATTAAAAAAAATGTTGAAAAAAATATATATAAAAAAAAATTGAAATTCAACAAAAAAATTAAAAATAAATAAAAGTTTAAAAAAATTAACAAAATACCCTTTTATAGAAAAATCAACTAAAAATAGAAAATAAATTTTAACAAATTTGAATTAAAAATAGTGTACGAGAAATGATTTTATTCTAAAAAAAGCGTGGGGTGCATGGTATCAGTAGGTGTAAATATTTTATGAACAGATATGAGTAGAAGGGTTATTTTGATAATATCCTGAAAAGCACCCTACGGTTTTTTTACAATAAAATATATTTTTTTATTTTATATAAAAGCGTATTTTGTTAGTTTTTTTAAAACTATTATTTATTTTAAACGCTTTAGTAAGTTAAGTAGGAAGCTTATTTCATATACTTCATATTATA